GCCGGCGTGCGTGGCGGCGAAGCCTGGAACGCGTCTCTGAGAGCAGCGAGCGAGGGGCGCGGCACTACTCACCCGTCCATGGCACACGGAGCAGACCCGCGGGGGACGGAGCGGAGGCGCAGGAATAGCAGGGACCGACCCAACGGCTCCGAGTTATAGACTCACAAGATGGCGGAGACGCCCGCACACGTCCCCCGCGCGCGCTACTCATTGGCTCCCACCGCGGACAGTAGGCGTGGCTAACCGTGCCTGCCCCCGCCAACGCCTCCCATTGGCCAGAGCGCTACTCCGAGGGCGAAACCCAGACGGACTGCAGACGGCTATTGGGTGAGACGTCCTTCAGTCAAGGCGGAGGACGGAAACTACCTGTGGGGGAGGGGGAGGGCGTGAACGAGCCGGCGCACGTGATAGCGTCCGAGCCAATGAGTGAGCCCTCGTCCGGCCCGTGGGAAGCCATCTTGAGAGTGGGTACGTGGCGGGTCAGATGCAGAGAAGCATGCTTGCGGGAGGTTGCCGCCATGTTGCAAGCGGGCAACGGAAGCCGTTGGCCTTCAGCGTGAGGGCAAAGCGAAGTGTGTCGCCATCTTAAAACCGGGCAGTAATTCCCTTATCATCCCATCTTGCTTGTGGTCACGTGACCAAAACTTCTTTAAACCGAGTTTCTCCTAGACTAGAGAGCGGGGCGATGGAGCTCACGTGCTTCGTAGCCACAGTCCCGACTTGATTGTGCATTATTCCTTTCCATCTTTTGTCTACCCCACAGCGGCCAAGCGCCACCTCTGTTCAGAAATGGGGAAACTGACAAAACGGACCGGAGTGTGGCCCGCTCTGCCTATAGCTGGGGAAAACGAGGCCACAAAGTGTCGAGTTGCGTGCCCTACAATTAGGCTCAGGAGCAAGCACAGTCCGCTGGAGGAGCAGAGCCTCGCCTTCTTGAGCCTCCACCCCGGGAGAGCACTCCAAACGGATACCCCAGAGCCAGGGTTCTGCATTCCAGTCTTGGGGTGGGGGTGAGAGCTGGAGCCCGGTTCTTCAGAGCATAGTGCAGGCTGCAGAGAGATTCTGGGCATGCCTTTGATGTGGCTCCCAAAGACGCAAATTATTGGGATTCTCGTTGATTTGGTTTTCTGCTAAAAAAAGAAGAAAAAAAAAAGCCCAGGAAAGGGGGAAAGTTTCTCTCTCCACAGAGGTGAGCCGAGCACCCGGCCTCCCTTCTCTGTGGTCCTGAGCGCCGAGTAGGAGGAGGGTAGGTCTGACAGTCACGCTGGTTTCTTGCAGGCCTGGCCAGGGGCCCAACAGCTTTAGAGCCCTAACGCGGGCCTGGTGCCAGAGGATTCCAGCCTGGATTAGGGGCGGCTGCCGATTTTCACGGAGGCCCCTCCAGGAGAGGTCTTTAAGGCCCCAGTCAGCCCGCAGAACAGCTAGCTTGAAGGCCCAGAATCACTAATCAGGGCTGTCCCGCGGATTTAGAAGAAGCCTCACAACAAGCGGAGGACTTGAGCCCTCTGGGACTCCCATCAGGTCCTGACTGGACCATTTGGGGCCAAGCTTGACTGCCAGTCTTTGTTCTCTTGGTGGCTGGTGCCAAGCATGGGCCCCACCCTCGGAAGCCAACCCGTACCGGTGGATTTGCTGGGGTGGAGACTGCTGGTCTCCAAGCACAGGTCTACACTGGCTGAGTCTGTTAAAAGCCACTTTGGAGCCTGGACTCTTGAAATGACCTTTTTCATCTCCCTGTCTGGTTTCTAGTCAGACCTCCAACACTCGACTGAGATTCCCTAACCTGCCTGACTCCCTCTTTGAAGCTTTGCCTCAGGGCCTTTGCACAACACTCCCTGGGGCATCCGACTCCCTCCCTTAATCTTTCCTCAGGGCCTTTGTCCCAGTATGCAGGAAAACTGTGTCTCCCATCTCTGAAACAGACAGAACCCCCATGCAGAGAGACCCAACCTTAGGTAGAGAGCGAGCCACAAAGCCAGGAGGAAGCTGGTCTTAGGAAAGCCTATGTGTGAAGGACGTCCAGTGCAAGTCTTCCATAACTGTCTGCAGTGGCCAGGAGAGCTGAGGGAGAGCAGAGAGGAATGGGGCCACAGCTCAGCAAGAACCCTTACCAAGCTAAGAATAAAGCGAGGGTCACTGGAGACAACAGGAGGATGGGAGTTCAAGATCAGCCTGTAGGACAGAGTTCTTTGTTGTCGTTTTTATTTTGTTTTGGTTTTTGGTTTTGTTTTTTCTGAGATGGTTTCTTTGTAGCCCTGCCTGTCCTGGAACTCACTCTATAGACCAGGCTGGCCTCAAATTCACAGAGAGCTGCCTGTTTCTGCCTCCCAAGTGCTGAGATTAAAGGTGTGTGCCACTGTGCCCAGCTTGGATTGTTCTGAGACAAAATCTCAACTCTGTGACCCTGGTTGTCCTAGAATTCATTAACCTTAGGCCAGCCTCAAGCCTGCAGTGATCCTCTTTCTGAGTCATGGAATGACAGGTCTAGTCTGGTACACTCAGCCAGAGTGAGTTCAAGACCAGGTTGGGCGGGTGGTAGTGGCGGCGGCGCACACCTTTAATCCCAGCAGAGGCAGGCGGATCTGTGAGTTCGAGGTCAGCCTGGTCTACTACGAGAGTTAGTTAGGACTGTTACACAGGGAAATCCTGTCTCAACAAACCAAACAAACAAAAGACCAGGTCGGGCAACTTAGTAAAGAGGGAAGAAGACCTGAGTCAGAGGTGGATCCCCTTGCCTAGAATCCCCCAGTAAGGGGTTGCTGGAGAGTGGTCAGGATGGTACACCTAGAATCAATCCCCCAGTAGTTGTGGTGGGGCTAGGGGCATGGCTTAGCAGTAGGATTTTAGCCTAGCTTGCAGTAGGTCCTGGGTTTCATTACCGTTGCCGCCAAAGCATTTTTTAAAAATTGATTAATAGTTTTGCATTTTCTTTTGTAGGCCAGCCCCCCATGCTGGGCTGCTTCTAAAGTCACAGATATAAGCCCTGCATCTGGAGTCCAGAAGTCTGAGACTCAGCTCTACACAGGAAATCTCTTTCCTGCCTCTCCCAGACTCTGGAGTTCCAGTGATGGAGTTGCCTCGTCCCTGTATGTGCCTGTTCTTGTGAGGGCCAGCCGTGATAATCTAAGTCTTGGGCAGAAAGGAAGTTCTTTACTTCCTCCAACCATTATCACCTGGGACTCTGGCCATTGATGAATTTTAGTGAAGGCTGGAGGCTGGGTCTCAGTTGTTTACCCTGAGATGATGCGGGGCTGCAGGAGAAACTACAGGCTGAGATCACCGGACCCTCACCCAAGAACAGACCATTCAGAGGAAATTTCTGGCATTCCAAGTACTGTAGATAGAAACACCTGCCAGTGCACAGTCACCAGGAAACCCTAGACCAATATCAGCCAATCAGGGGTCTTAAAACCTCAGAAACCCCTCGCCCCCGACCTGTACTACTATAAAACCCTATTCTAATTGAGCTCAGGGCTCTCCAGTTATTCCAATACGTTAGACGTGCGGAGAGACCGAGTTTACAAACTTGACTAAAATAAAGGCTCTTTGTTTTTACATATGTGACTCGGTCTCCTTTGTTGACTTTTGTGGGGAGCCATGGATTTGGGTATAACATTCTCACACTGCTTCCTAAGTCTCCTTTTCTGAGCCCTGCCTCTCTAATCTCAGGTTGTCTCAGGACCCCTAATTGTATCTAGGGAGTCTGCGGTGCTGGGTAGGGAACTAGGGACCCCACCCCACCCCACCAGACCAGTGTTCACACTGATCCATAGCCCAAGCCCCATGCCACATCCATGGGCTCTGGGGATTAGCACTGGATATATCTTTGTGGAGGCCACCTCTGGTCACGAAAAAGCCATTGCAAGCTGTAAAAGGTTGTGCCTGGCCTTTCATCCCTGCAAAAGAACCTGGCTTTGGGAGCCTCCACCCAGGCCACCGGAGTCTTAGATGGCCTCCTCAGGGTAGACTGACTTTAGGGGAACCATGGCTTAGTGATCGGTCATTTTACAATTTCTCTGTCTCTGTGCAGAACACCTGCTAGGAAAGATGCCCCAGGCTTCTGTATTATTTATTTATCCCACATGGCAGGCCTGAGTTTGTCCCCTGCCTGCCCAGCGCCCACCCAAGCCTTGCCAGCTGCTGTCTTCATGAATGATTGAGGTGAGGAGAGACAGACAGCTCACCTGGCCTTTGTCTGAGCGGCACACTGGCCTGCTTGTTACAGGAAAAGTGATACTCCCCTGCAGGAGGAGATAGGCCAGGGCGAGGGGCCTCAGAGCTGGCCAAGTGAAACTCTCAGAACACAAGGAAGACAGGGATGCCTCGTTTACTCTCCTACTAAAGAGAAACTCTCAGAAGAACAGAAGGAAGACAGAGATGCCTCGTTTACTCCCTACTAAGGGAAAACAAGGCCACCAAAGGAAATGTTTATGGATGGGATTTCTTGTTTTCTATTTGTTTGCCTTGCTGGGGATGGAGCCCAGGGCTTCAAACCTGCTAGCCAAGGGCTCTGTGCCTGAGCTACACCCCTGCCTGTCACTGGGGGTTTCTATGTGAGAACCTTGAAGACTGAGACCCTCCTGTCTCAGCCTCTCAGACACCTGAGATGACTGATCTGGACCCCACACCCAGCCGCTGGTGTGTGAATTAAAAGTATCTCTTTTCTTTTTAAGCCAAATTTGTTTAGGCACGGTGACATGGATCTCTGTGACATCTAGGCTAGCCTGGTCTACATGGAGAGCTTCAGGCCAGCCAGGACTACTTAGACTCTCAAAAAAATTTTAATTATATGTACATGGGTCTTTCACCCATATAGATGTCTATGTACCATGTGGTGTGTGTCTATTGCCAGAGGAGGCCAGAAGAGAATATTGGGTCCCCAGGACTGGAGTTATAGATGGTTTGAGCCACTATGTGGGTTCTCTGCAAGAGCAACCAGCATTCTAACCACTGAGCAATCTCTGCAGCACTGCAAATAGTTTTTAATCTACTCGTTACCTTGATAAAAATCAACAAAGCAGGCTACTATCAGGAGTTCATGTCCCATCCCATTTTTCAGATTTCCTTTTTTTTTTTTTTTTTCCTGAGAGGTTTCTCTGTGTATTCCTGGTTGCCCTGGAACTCGCTCTGTAGACCAGGCCTCGAACTCAGACATTCTCCTTTCTCTGCCTCCAGTGTGCTGGATTAGAGGTGTGCACCACCATGCCCACCACCACTGACTATTTCCCAGATTTCTTTTTTTTTACCCTTTTTTTAATTTTTGTTTTTGGTTTTGGTTTTTCGAGACAGGGTTTCTCTGTAGCTTTGGAGCCTGTCCTGGAACTAGCTCTTGTAGACCAGGCTGGCCTCGAACTCACAGAGCTCTGCCTGCCTCTGCCTCCTGAGTGTTGAGATTAGACATGCGCCACCACCACCCAGCTATTTCGCAGATTTCTACTGAATTGGACAGTTTAGCACAGGGTCAGGCTGTCTGGTCTAGGGAGAACCGCTGAAGGGAAGTTTCAGGCTTTTAACCTTCCAACCTCAGGGCTCCAGGGAGACCCAGTGAGACAGAGAAGAATCTGGTGACCAAGCCAAGCCTGGGTTCAGTCCCTAGGTTCCAAGGGGTGAAGGGAGGGAACCTGTTCCCACAGGCTGACTCTGCCCACCACTGGCCCACAGAGAACATTCAGAAAGTGGGAAAAGGCTTCTCAGAACTCCCTCCTCTGTACTTCTGCCAACCACTGTCTACCAGGAACAACAGAAAGCCCTTTCCTAGCCTGGTGGTGATGCACGCCTTTAATCCCAGCACTCGGGAGGCAGAGGCAGGCAGATCTCTGTGAGTTTGAGGCCAGGCTGGTCTACAAGGGCTAATTCCAGGACAGGCTCCAAAGCTACAGAGAAACCCTGTCTCGGAAGAAAGAGAGAAAGAGAGAAAGAAAGAAAGACAGAGAAAAGGAAGAAAGCCCTTCCCTAACTGCCTTTAGAATTCCCCACCCTTGCGTCACCCACCCACCCAACCCGTCTCCACCCCTGATTTACAACAGCCCATTTGCTACCACACCCCCCAGGCCAGCAGGAAGGCTACCCAACCCTGCCCCTCCCTGTAAGATCCAAGATAGTGTTTCCCAGACTCTAGAGCCACGGCCATTCAGGGACATTCAGAAACTGCGGCGAGCTCTCTGGCACCTTGGCCATCCCTGGCTCGCAGTATCAGCAGTAGCTGTGGTGGTCGCTGAGACAAGCAGGGCCCGGTTGTGGTCCTCTTGGTAACTGGGCATGTGTGGCCCGGAGTCAGCAGAGCCCTGAGGATGGAGGGTGGACACAGAGCTCAGCCCTTCCTCAGGAGGTTACACAGTCACCAGCAGGAAGGCTCCTACACCGCAGCTCTGAGGGACCTCGCGGACCTTGTGCTGAGCAAGAGACCCACACAAAAGACCACACAGCGTGGGGCTCCGATGGGGATCCAGAGAAAGGAAGTGGGTTCCTCTGCAGGGATGAATGCTCCCTGTCCCTGATGGTGGTCCCAGCACTGGTCTCTGTCCCTCTCTGCCACACCTCAGTTCTCAAGAAGAGAATATCCTAATCTCTCACAGGTGACCGGGAGAGTAGTTCGCTTTTTTTTCTTTTTCTTTTTTTTTTTTTTTTTAATTATTTACAACCATCTAGTTGACAGAATAGACAAAATTGCTTGCAGCCCAAGCCTGATGTCCTGAGTCTGATCCAGGAATTCAGGTGAAGGTGGAACTCACACCTGCATCCTCTGAGCACTGTGTAAGCACTATGGCTTGTCACCCGCACTTACACACACACACATACACACAAACACACAACAACATCAAAAATCTTCCCAACCACACTGGAAAACAAAATGCTTTTGGATTTTTGTTGTTTGTTTTTTGACATAGTATATCTCTACTTTGCCCTGGCTGTTCTGAAACTCACTCTATAGACCAGGCTGGCCTTGAACTCACAGAGATCCTTCTGCCTGCCTCTCCCTTTAAGTGCTAAGATTATAGGAATGTGCCACCACTGCCTGGCCTGGGTTCTTTCTCTCTCTCTCTCTCTTTTTTTTTTGGGGGGGGGTTCGAGACAGGATTTCAGGGGTTCTCTGTGGCTTTGGAGCCTGTCCTGGAACTAGCTCTTGTGAACAATGCTGGCCTCGAACTCACAGAGATCCGTCTGCCTCTGCTTGCTGAGTGCTGGCATTAAAGGCATACACCACCACAGCTGGGTTCTCTTTGTAAATTATATTTATTTATTTTGGGGTAGGGACATATGCCATGAGGTATGTGTGGGGGCCACACACAAGTGCCTTAATCACTGAGATACCTCCTTGCTTTGCCTGGACGAGTCTAGTTTCGCCTGTCCACATCTCTGACAACCAGAGGCCAGAGAATGGGTCATTCTGTGGGAAACAGGGTCTCAGCAAATGTACCTTGAGGCCATGAATGTTGAGACTAAAGCAACAACAGGGTTCACAGAAGAAGGACATTGAGGACTGGGGCTCAGTTTAGAAAACGCTCACCTGCCACACAGGGAGCCCTGGGTTCCATCCCCAGCACTAAAGAGCCTGGCCTGGTGGTACAACTGGTCATGGTCATTCTAAACCTGGGGAGGTGGAGACAGAAGGATCCGGAGTTCAAAGTTATTCTTTGCTACATTGAAGGCCAACCTGGGCTACACAAGACTCTGACATTCTGACAAGAGAGAGGGAGAGAGAGGCAGGCACGGGTGCACACAACCTGGGCTGCACAAGACTCTGACATTCTGACAAGAGAGAGAGAGGGAGAGAGAGAGAGAGAGAGGCAGGCACGGGTGCACACAACCTGGGCTGCACAAGACTCTGCCTCTCCCATCCTTGCAGTCTCCACTATTTGAGTCACAGTAAGTCTGTTTTCCTGAGCTGCCCGGATTGTTCAGATCACCACAGTGCAGACTGTTGAGCATCCAGGACAGTGGGTGGAGCGGGGCCAAGCGTGCCTGGATCTCCATGTAGCCATGGAGACTGGGATAGCAACGGCCCCATCTACAGGCTTGCCTCTAAGGCCTTGCAAAATTTATTAAAAGGGAGATGTCTAGATAAGACAGTGAACCTGAGCCAGGCTGGAAATGATCCAGCTGCCACTTCCTTGCCTCCTGGTTACAGGGTCAAAGGTAGAGAATATCATTGGACCTGGAAAGCCCTCCAGCTGATAGTTCCAGGGTGAATTTTTGGGGTTCACACCCCCATGTGAGTCTCTATGGCTTCTAGACCTTAACTTTTATAATCAGCAGGTGTAAAGGATGTGGTTTTATTTTTGTTTTGAAATCGGGTCCTCAATAGTCCAGGCTGACCTCAAACTCACTACACCAGGATGACCTTGAACTCCTGACCCTCCTGCCTTCACACCCTCGGTTCCAGGTGTGCACCGCCAGAGCAGGTTTATGCAGTGCTGGGGACGGACCTCAGGGCTTCATGAATGAAGCTCTCAGCCCACGGAGCCCATCCCCAGCCCTAGCCTAGGACATCTTACTCCTTATATAGACAATTTATTTTTATTTTATGTGCATTGGTGTTTTGCTTGCATGTATGTCTGTATGAG